ATATATATATATATATATATATATGAGGAGGGATCAAATAACTCCAAGAGTAATTCTCTACTTAATAACTCATAGTATATTCTAAATTTCAATATTTAACTGTTAAAATAAAAGTTGTTAATGCACAGATCAAATCTATAAATTCTTAAAAATTTTAAAAATCATATGATACTTTGTTATATAGATTCAAATCAATGTATAAAATACTTTTAAAATTATTCGTCAATTTTAATTAATTAAACGAAATAATAAATAATTTTAAATTTTTTAGAATAATTATAGTCTTTACCTAGAATTAGAATTACCTTGTAGAGTGTTTGGATGGGAAATTTAAATGGAGTAATTCATTTATTTGAAGAATTTTAATTTTTTTGAGGTGAAATACCTTTTTTGGATAGAGAATTTATAAAAAATTTGAAATTCAAACATTTATGAAATTCCTTGAATAGTAGAATTTCAAATTATCCGAAAAAAGTAAGAATTTGAAATTTCTTATATTTTTTTTTCTTATTTTACTTATATATTTTATCTCTTGATGTTTTTAATTATTAAATATTTTTAAATTTATTAAATATTATCTAATATTAATTTTTAAAATTACTAAATATTTTAAAAATTAATTAGTATTTATTTTTATAAAATTCATTTAAAAATCTCGAGATATAAATATATTTTTAAAACAAATTTTATCATGGTGAAATCAAATTATTATATCTAACTTAATAACTTAAAATTTTAGAGTCATTTGATTACTCTTCTCTCTATAAATATATAGATATGAGACGAGTGATTCACTTATTCCACTTAATAACATATATTTAACATCAAATTTTAATAATCTAATCATCAAATAAAAAAAATTCAATGCATAAATTAAATTTGTAAATTCTAAAAAAGTTTAAAACTATTTAATACTCCATCTTATTATTTCAAATTAATGAATAATTAAATAATTTTCAAATTTTTTAAAACTTTATAAAATTAATTTAAACATTAAAAATGTTTAATTCAAAGATTAAATCATTAAAATTCATTATCAAACGAAATGATTTTAAAAAGTGGAACCAAAATTGAAAACAGTAACGTAGTAAAATGGTGCATTTGTGCTCTTAATTGTTGGTTTTAGGTTTTGTTTCCTTCCAGTTAATTTGAGAGACCAATATAAGCATAAAAACTAACAAACTACCATTGATAAAAAAAAACCACCATTGATAAAAAAAACCTCCTAACATATATAGGAATAGTTCATAAATATAACAATTGAAAAACACAATTAAGTAAGAAAAACTACCATTAAAAAAAATATATGAAAATTATAAAAAATTTGGTCAAGATCTACGTTCCTGTAAAATCTCGAGCAAAACCCATTAAATTTAAGATCAAATGAGGCATATGAAGCGAAAAATAAAAAAATAAAAAAATCACACACACAAACACAACAAAAAATGTCGACAATACTTCAAATCCTAGTTTATAGTATTGAAATAAATAATAAAAATGTAATCACTCATGTCAAAAAAAGAAGAAAAAACTTAAAATAATAACAAAAGATTGAGAGATGAAAGAAAAGTAACTTTCACAGGACCAAAAAATCTTAATTTGGTTCCACTGCGTATGTAACTTCTTAATCTAATAATTTCCTTCTACAGGCTAGTCTTGAACTTCTATTCGTTATCATTTGTTCCATTGTGTTTTGGTGGGTACACGAAGAAAAAAGCAAAAGAGACTGTGCAGTTAAAATGTGCCGTTACATTTTTTAAAATGTGAGAGAAGTGATTTCAACAAAAGAGAGATTCTAATAAGAAGGGTGTGATTTTTGAACGTAGCATTTTTATTAAAAATAGGGTATGTTGGGAAGATCCATATATTTTGCATTATAATTAATTTAATTTTATAACAAAAAAAAAATAAGGAGTGAGAATAATTATCCAATAAATATAAATAAATAAATAAAATATAATTATTTGTAACCAATATTAAATATATATTTTAGATTTTTCTTGTTATAGTAAAATTTGAATTATTTTTGTAGTGACTTGTCAAGATAAATGAGCCTTATTATAATCTCAAATAACAAAATGATATTTCACCTTAAATTTTTACTCATTTAAATCTCCAAGGTCAAACCTCCAACTACAAATTAATTCAAAATTTCATTGTTACGACCATAGATTAACATTTATCTTTATAAGTAATGATGATATAATAATAAGTTGAGCTTAGAAGATTAAAAAAAACTAGATTATAGTTAGAAATAACATAAAAATGTTTAAACTAAACCATTTAAAATATTTTTAATTATTTAAAATTTAGTACAACATAATTTACAACAATGAAAAGTGTTTAAGAATATTAAACTAGTTATATAACCGTTGTAAATATCATAAAATAATAAAATAACATAAATTAATAATACCTTATTGATTATTTAGAATTAAAAGTATCATAGATTAATTAAGTAAATGAGATTGAGGAACCTCACTAAATAAATATAACATAAAATAAATAAATATAATAATTTAAAAAATTTAAAAGTGATAAAGCCTCCTTCCCCTTACCTTAATAAAAAAGTAGAATTGCTTTGATAATCTAAAGGCTAAATACCTATTTTGGTCCCTTATAATAATTGTTTGTTTCAATTTAGTCCCACTTTTATTTTTGGTTTCAATTTGGTCCCAAACTAATTAATTGGTTTCAATTTGGTCCCAAACTAACTAATTGGTTTCAATGTGGGACTTTCGTCCAAATTTCTTTAACGGGGTTAACTGTGTGGCCACGTGGATGCCACGTAGATGCATACGTGGATACCACGTGGATGCCAAATTTTGTGAAAATACCTGAAACCAGAACGGCCCGTTCTGAAACTAGAACGGGTCGTTCTGGATGCACTCTTGGTGTGTTAATTTTGCATCTGAAACGAGCCGTTCTAGATGCAAAATTAACACACCACTTGTACATCAA